AGCGCAGTTCCGCCTGTTGACCTAGATCACTTGAGAACATCACAGTTCATTCCCTCTTCATCTGGGCCACTCAGCCTGTTATTCTCTATCATTTGTTCCTCCTTTCTTCCTCCTCCGCGCCTCCTCGCGTTCCCCCTCCCCCCCGTGACGTATCCCTCGTCGTTGCTCCTGCTGCTGCCCGCATTCCTCCAGAACGACCTCATGCCCTCATGCCCGTCCTGCCCGTTCCTCGTTGCACTGGCGCGTGAAACATCAGAGCGAGGGGGCCCGAACGGTCATTCACTGTCCCTTGGCGCGTGGCTGAAATATCGGTCCGCGGCGCGGATTCTTGTTTGTTGTTGTCGTCGCCCCCTCCGCGACCCGCCCCGCGACCCACCCGGAGCAAGACGGCGCTTTCTTTTGTTGTCGTCGTCCTCCCAGCGCCCCGCCACGCGACCCACCCGCAGCAAGGCGGCGCGAACGCAAACTGCGGCGCCTCGACGACGTCGTCGGCCGCGCCCGCCCCCCCCCCCACTCTCATCCGCAATTGCGGGGTGCTACGGTATGCGTCCTCGTCGTCGTCATTCCTCCTGTGTCGTCGTCATCCGTTTTGTAATCCTCAACCCCGTGCGAAAAGCAACTGGGGTTTGGTGGGCTTCCCGGCCCCCGAATTTCAATGTTCATCGTGCGACCAGCGAAGTTCGAAAAAAAAATCGACCCCGCGCTGAACATTGAAATTGGGGGGCGCGTGGGGTGGGGTGGGCGGGGTGGGGTGGTGGGGGAGGGGGGGGGGGGGCACGAAAACCCCAGTTGCTTTTCGCACGGGGTTGATCGCTTTTAAGCGCCCACGATGCGTGGATGATGGTGCTGATGATGACGATGGCGACGACAAATCGCTCGATATGTCCTCGCGAAAAGTTGATATGCTGGGCCCCTAGCGGGTCCCAACGCATTGATGGGCATGGCGGTTCGAACGCAGCACGTCAATTGGGGCATCCTCGCAAACATCGGGCACGTGATCTTGTGTGCGAGCTTCAAAACGAAAGTTTCGCTCGGGGCTTCCTCCGCACCATTATTGCGAAGGCCTTGCGGCCGGTGCCGCCGGCCCTGAAGGGCGACAACGACGACGACAACGACGACGACGACGGCGACGGCGACGGCGACGACGGCGACAGCTGATGGCCCTGCCACAGGCTCTGAACATGGGACGGGGGGGAAGGAGGAGGACGAGGGCGAGGGGGAGGAAAAGGAGAAGGAGAACGAGGGGGAGGAGGAGGAGGAGGAGGAGGAGGAGGAGGAGGAGGAGGAGGAGGAGGAGGAGGAGGGAGGAGGGAGGAGGGAGGAGGGAGGGGGGGGAGGAGGAGGAGGGAGGAGAGGAGGAGGAGGAGGAGGAGGAGGAGGAGGAGGAGGAGGAGGAGAAGGAGGAGGTTGAGACGGAGGAGGTGGAGGCGGAGGAGGTCGAGGAGGAGGAGGAAGAGGAGGGAGGGCGGAGGAAGAGGAGGAGGAGGAGGAGGAGGAGGGAGGAGGAGGTGGGGGATGAGGAGGAGGACGACGATGAGGAGGAGGACGAGGAGGAGGAGGAGGGCGGAGGAAAAGGGGGAGGAGGAGGAGGTGGACACGGAGGAGATGGAGACGGAGGAGGGCGGAGGAAGAGGAGGAGGACGATGAAGAGGATGGCGGAGGAGGAGGTGGGAGGAGGGGGAGGAGGAGGAGGGAGAGGAGGAGGGGATGGAGGGAGGAAGGACAGTCGATGAAGAAAGGAGAGAGCTGAGATCAGGATGGATGGAGGGTGGGAGGATGGATCCTTGCGCCTCGATCGTACACGTTGGATCCTCGATCCTCGATCTTCCATCGTCGAGTTTCGACCGTCGATCCAATATCGTCGACCTTGGATCCTTGATCTTCGATCTTCGATCCTCGGTCGTCGAGCCGGGGGTTCACGGGCGGGCTGCTGGGCTCGCAAGCCATTGCGATGTCCGTAGGATCAGGAGGAGCAATGAGGAGGATCAGGAGGCGGGAGGAAGAGGAGGAGAAGCATGCAGGATGACGACGACGGGAATAAAGATGAATGGATCGTGGCCTCGACCCTCGATCGTCGATCAAAGATCGTTAACCTTGGATCGTCGATATTCGATCTTCGATCGTCGATCCTCGTTCTTCGATCGCCGATCGCCGAGCTGGAGAAAGAGCAGGAGGATGGAGAGGAGGAGGAGCGCCAGCGGCAGCAGCGAACACAACAGGAGGAGGGGGGGGATGACGACGAACAGGAGGAGGAGGATGAAGAGAGGATCAGAGGTATGGGAGGGGCGGGGCAATGGAAATGGACAGCGGGAAGGGGAGGGGGAGGAGGAGGAAACGGAGGAGGAGGAGGAAAAGGAAGAGGAGGAGGAGGATGAGGAGGAGGATGAGGAGGAGGAGGCGCACTGCTGCGTTTCAGGAGTGGTGTTAACTGGCAATGTGGTCCCACAGGCGGCTGGGTGCTCACAGTCACGGTGGTGCTCTGGCGCTGATCGGCTCCAGCACTCCTGATTGCGTAATGCTGCTTGGCAGGAGTGGTGTAACTGGCAATGTGCTCCCTCAAGAGTTACGAGAATTTATGGGCCAGCCATCAGGGCAGCAACAGCGGGCACGTTAGGCAGGAAGTCGGTCAATGAGGCAGCCAACAAGGGCGCGGGTCGCCGGTCGCGGCCTCGGGTCTCCAGCGCGGGTCGCGGGCTCTGGTCGCGCGCTCTAGTGGGGGGGAGGGAGGGGTTCGAACCGGTAGTGATCCCCCTCCAGTTTTCGAGGGGGGGGAGGGGGGGGGGGGGTTCGAACCGGTAGTGACCCCCCCCGGTTTTCCGGATGCGGAGGGGGGGGGGGGGGGAGGGGTTCGAACCAGTAGTGAGCCCCCCGGCTTTCGAGGGGAGGGGGGGGGGGGTGGTTAGGGGAGGGGGGACGTTTTGCCAGGGGAGGGGGGCGGTTCCAGCAGGGGGGGGGGGGATTTTCGGAGGGGGGGGGGGACCCCCGGGTTCCGGAGGAAAAGGTTGGCAATTTTCCACAGTAAAGCGGCGGTGGATCACGCTCTCTCATATATTTCTATATATATGTGTGTGTGTGTGTGCACAAATGCATGTTTATATGCATACATACATACATACATCCATACATACATACATACATACATGCATGCATGCATACATACATACATACATGCATGCATACATACATTGTGTTGTACTACATTGCATTACAATGCAGTGCACTACATTGCATTACATCAAACTGCATGGCATGCATACATGCATCTGTATATACACGTGCATGCATACATGCATACATGTAGACACGCGTACATAGATACTTACATACAAACACGCATGACCACTCACACACAGTTGCATACATGCATGCATACACATATACATACGTAGCACCCCGCAATTGCGGATAAGAGTGAGGGGGCGGGCGCGGGCGACGCGGGCGTCGTCGAGCCGGCGGACCTGGTGGCCCCCACCTTCCGCGCTGTCCTCCTCCTCCTCCTCCTCTTCCTCCTCCTCCTCCTCCTCCTCTTCCTCCTCCTCCTCCTCTTCCTCGTCCTCGTCCTCCTCCTCCTTCTTCGTTCTCCTCTCCCCCCCTCGTCCTTCCCCATCGTCCCCTCATCATCATAATCAAGGCATGTTCCTCTCCTCGTCCTCCCCCTCCTCTTTCCCCTCCCGATCTCCACCCTCTCCTTTTCTTCGTCGTCGTCGACGTCGTCGTGTCGTCGTCCCCTTCTTCCTCCTCCTCCTCCTCCTCCTCCTCCTCTCTCGTCGCCTCGTCCTCCTCTCCGCCTCATCCTACTCCTCCTCTCCCCTCCTCCTCGTCCTCCTCTCCCCCTCTGCCTCCTAGCTCGTCCTCCCCCCCCCTCGTCTCCTCTCCTCCTCGTCGAACCTCCCCTCTCCTCCTCCTCCGGCCCCTCCTCCTCCTCCTCCCCCACATCCTCCTCCCTCGGACCAGTCTCTTCGGAGGCAGGCCACTCCATCATCCAGCGTCCAGCATCCAGCATCCTCATCCTCATCCTCCTCCTCCTCCTCCTCCTCCTCCTCCTCGTCTTCCTCGTCCTCGTCCTCGTCCTCGTCCTCGTCCTCCTCCTCCTGCTCCTGCTCCTCCTCCTCCTCCTCCTTCTCCTCCTCCTCCTCCAACTGCCCTCAGTGTCCCTTTTCCTCGTCGTCCCCTTCCGCCTCCCCCATCCTTTTCCTCGCCGTCGTCCTCGGCCCGCACGAGGCCGACGCGCAAGCGTCGTCGCCGCGGCCCGTCGTGATTTTAAAAGGCGGCCCGGGGAACAGGCGGTGCAGAACCGTCGTCGCGCCTCTGGCGTCAACGAAGGTCAAGCAAGGGGTAGGCAGTGGGGTGCGACCGCAGAAAAGCAGCGAGGTCGGCGAGAGAACCCGGGGTTGGCTCTCTTTCGCTGTCCAAGAACCAAATCCGCCGCACGGCGTGCGCAGGCGGATTACGGAATATTGATATCTGACTGATATCTGATCTATCTGATGATGATGTCGAATGGGCGCCCCGCCGAATAACGTGAAGGAGATGGCACTGGGAGGGGCAATGGCGTGATAGCGAATGGCCCCCGGCACCCCTCCCGAACCCGAGTCGGCGGCCCGCAGAAGTGGCGGCGGACTCGCGCGGCAGCGCTGCTGTATCTGTCCCGCGAGAACCCGCACTGCCATCCAGTGCGCGTTGGTTTTATTCACCACAATGCCGAGAACATTGGGCGCAAACACCTGCATCGCGTTATCCGGCAGAACAGGCGAGTTAAGATTAAGTGAGAACTCGTTCCCGTGCCATTGGAGCACAAAGGACAGCACAGCCTCGGAATAGTCGCCTGATGGCCAGCGGCGCGCAGACCGGATGGGGAAGGAGGCCCTCTTCGAAGGTACGGGGCGCAGTAGAGCCCAGAAAGACTGGTCCGGAAGCGTGCCAGCAGGCTCCGAAAGCTTCGATGAATCCCGTGCCTCGTCGGAACGCCTCCTCCCCCCCTCTCCGGCGCGCGCCGCCGAGATGGACCAATGTGGTTTCTCAGGCGTTCCGGCAACCCGTCGAGCGCTGAGTGGGCAACGTACGCGGCGGCGCCCGCCCTCATGAGGGCCTGGTTGAAAAGCGGGAAACCCACTGCGTTATTGAGCGCATGCATCCCGCAGTGGGCCCCTTGTTGTCTTTCAAAAAAGCCGTTGAACACCGGAGCGGGCGGGCGCTGGCCTGCGGGGCGCTGCCGACCAAGAGCCTTGTCAGACTCGCCCCCGGCCTGTGCTGGAGCAGGTTGCTGGGCGACAGGATGGCGCAACTCTGTAGCCGCTGGCGCCGCGGGGCCCGCTGCGGCATCCTCCAGATGAATGAGTACGAACGAGATGCACCCCTAGTGGGCGCAACCGTGGTTTCCGCCTTGGAATGTGGAGGGCTCGCCAGAAGAGAGTGCAACATGCACCCCGATATGGGCCAGGACCCCAAACGCCGGGAGTGGACACTGTTTGGAGAACCAGTCAGGCCGCGACGGCGAAAGCCACGGTTGCAGAGCGGGCCTCGGTCGGACTCAGCCAGGTCCTGCTGGCGCAGGGGGTGCCGCCGTGCAGCGGAAGGCCGGGCCCCGTAGCGCACGAGGACCTCTGCATGGAGGATTGCGCATGCGCGGGCCCCCCGCCCCCGTGCGTTTGGAAAAAACACCCAGGGCTGGCCAGCAGCCCTTTGAGAAGTAGGATGGAGAATTGAGTGTGTGAGTTTGACAGCCCAGCGCCTTCTTTCCCTGGAATGCCTTGAGAACCTCCGCGAGGCTGGCGCATTGCAGCGCAGTCTGGGACAGCGCGAACTCGAGGACATCAGGAGACACAGGCAAAACGCCTCGACGGCTGAGCATAGCAGCGATGTCGCCCGTGTCGTCGGAAGTAGGAACAGCAACCAAATGCTGCGCAACCTCGTCGTCCGGGCCCCAGCCCGCCCACCGCCTCAAGGTAGATTCGTGGAGGTCATCGAAAATCTTCTCGAATTTTTCCCGCGCGAGGAACATCTTGGAGGACCGCACGGCCAAGAAACCTCACTGCACGGTGGGCGCGCGTGAACCAGGCGCGCTAGCGAAAGAAAGCGTGGCCCGTGAAACTTTTTCGGTCGCGGCCGCAAGCGAAGAGCGCAGGCGGCGACAGAAGCTGTCCGGGGCTGCGAACAAACCTAATGAGCTGCAAGGCGCGGAGCAGTGTGGCCGGGCCAGCTCACAAGGCGGCCGCTGGGGCAGCAAGGCGAGGGCTGACTGGCTGACGGGCGCCCAGGGAAGCTCGAGCATCGTGCAGCCCAGAGCAACATGCCAGGGAATTCGGTGTACGCCCTGCGGCGTTGGACCGCTCGGTGGAGGCGAGAACGTAGGTGAGCTTCCTGGGCACGCCCCTCTCACGCCTGGTGGCCGCGAGCGCGAGGAAAACGATGGTCGAGTCGCCAGCGGGGCGCCGCGGGCCAAGACCGTGCCAACGGCGTATACCAGCCAGGTGAGCAGAGCAAGAAACCAGGCATTTCCGGTAACCTCGCGGGGCTCCCCCCGGGGAGGGCGCGGACGAGAGGGGGGGCCGTGGAGGGGGAGAAGATTGGGGACGGAGTGAGTAAGGCTAGGGTTGGATAGGAGGAAAGATCTCAAAAAGGGGGCACGGAGAGAAGGGGAGGAGGAGGAGGACGAGGAGGAGGAGGAGGAGGACGAGGAGAAGGGCGAGAGACAGGATCGGAGCAGGCAGAGAGGACGAGGAGACACGCAAGTGAACGCCAACAGGTAGAACGTGGAGGAAGATGGCGGAGGAGGAAGGGGAGGGTAGAATGATGTTAAGGAGGAAATATGGGGGTGGAACAGAACGAGGAAGTGAAGGAGGAGGAGGAGGAGGAGGAGGAGGAGGAGGACAAGGAAGGGGAGGAGCAGCAGCAGCAGGAGGAGCAGCAGCAGCAGCAGGAGCAGGATGGAGGAGGAGGCGGGCGCGGAATCCGCCGCGCTGCTCAGGGCAGGCGGGCGTCGGCGAAGCCCCGCGTAGTCAGCGAGAGGAGGGAGGCGGCAGAAACCCATGGTCTCCCACGCCGTGGCGCGCGTGAAGCCGACGAAGGCGAGGCCTCTGGGGACGCTTCGAAAACGGGCGGCCCGGGCAGTGGCCGGGCGCCATGGAACATCCGCCTTCCCGGGGGCGGGCGCAAACCCGGGGCGAGTTTGAAACTGGCCCCGGGTCTGCGCCTGCCCCCAGGAGGGCGGATGTGCGATGGCGCGATCCAGGGGGGGCAGGGGAAGCAGTAAAGTCGAGGTTCCTCATTGGACCGTGTCTGCCCCCAGCGGCCCGCCGAGGACTTCCCCATCGGAGGCGTCCGAAGACAGGCAACGTCGATGGTGGCTCTTTCTATCAGCGCGGGCCCGGGGGCCTGGAGACGCCGCAGCGGAGCGGGGCCCGCTGGTGGAGAGGTCCAGGCATACGCCAGACGGGCACGTGAGGCCCTGCGCCTTGTGGACAGTCAGGGACCACGACAGCCGCAGTGGAAGCTGAACTCTCTCCAAGCTGCGCGCCTTTTTGCTCTGGCGCCGGATGGGTGGGACAGGAACCCACGTCGGGTGTTCTGGCCAGAAAGGAGCCCCGCAGTACTCTGGGAAGTCGACGACCACGTACGCCGGCAACGCAGGGGGGGCGGCGTCCATCACAATGCCGACAACTCTGCCGCGGGCCCCGTTCATCAAGCCGAAGCGCACCACCCGGAGCTCCCAGAGCAGGTTAGATGTCAGCAGAACTGGGGCACCGACGGATAAATGAACCTTCGTGCGAAGCTGGTAAAACTCATCTGGCGGTCGCTTCTCTGCTCGAGGGTCGCTGTGAACAGCGTCGAACGCGAATACCGGGGCGCCGTTGGCCTCGGAGTGACGCGCCAGCTTGGCGCCATTGCGCTCTCCAACTTTCTTGTTCTCTGTCGTGAGCCACAGCGCGTCCGTCTCCAAGGCGCGACGCAGAGGGCGGTCGTGGGGGACAGCGCTGACATCGTGCCCGCACCACAGCGAGTAATCATGCAGCGTCATTGCTCCATCCCGCAGGCGGAGCGTGGAATCCTTGTAAGGGCTGGGCCCTTTCTGGCGATAAATGCGCCGCAGCCGGACAACGTCAGTGAAGGAACGGAAGAGCCTCTGCCCCGCCGCAGCCCGGCGGGACTGCCCTTTAGCTGACAGGAGGAGCGATGCGTCCCCAATGGGCGGCACCTGGCCGAAATCACCGACGAGGAGTACACCCAAGGCCCCGAAGCCGTGCGCCTGGGGCGCGCCGTCGCCGTTCGAGGCGCCCGCAGCTCGCCGTCGCCGTTCACGTAGGACGCGCGTGACAAGGTCGAGGCGGTCGGATACCTGGAAGAATTTTTCGGAGCCGACCATGGAGATCTCGTCAATGATGAGAAGCCTTGCCAGCGCCAATTTGTCCACCAGGGCGTCAATTGAAGCCGTGTCCGCCATGGCGCTCCCCAGATTGAACACCGAGTTGATAGTCTCTGCCCCGGCCCCCATGTTGAAAGCCGCAACCCCTGTATGAGCGCACCGGATCACTGACCCCGTGCCCAAGCAGGATTCGAGTGATGCCACGATTGCCTTGACAACCTCCGACTTGCCAGTGCCGGCTGTGCCCAGCAACAGGACGCGCAAGGGGTCCGTCGCACCTGCCTGCGCCCACTGCAGCACTCGATCGTGCACGCAACGTTGCGTTGGATCGAGGCGATCTGCTCGCCGTTCCTGCTGGCCCGCCGCTTGGGCAGACGCATGCATTGACGCAGCGCTCCGGGCGATTACCCCTGCAGCGTCCTGCTGGGAGATTCGCGCGAGGCCAGCAGGGCACGCGGACTCGAGCAGGACATCAGGTGGATTCACGCCGGCGTTCAATTGGAGAAGGGCCTCCTGCTCAGCCCGGACATCCGCCTCCTCTCCATCAACGAAGTCTTCCAGCGCATCCAGCAGCACCTGAGCTCCGTCGCTGCTGTGCTCCTGCCACGCTGCATCGGCCCTGGCCGCGAAAGCGCGCACCTTGGAGGTGTTGGCGATGTCGGTCTCCACTTGGAGCTCCTCCCCGTCACAGCCCCCGTCGTCGGCGGGCGGCTCCCCTGGCGGCGCGCCGACCTCGCGGAGGGCGTTGACGAGCCGCTCCACCAGCTGAGCCTTCCTGCCAGTCATTCCCAGGCCGAGGCTTGCAAGCGTTGCCTTGAGCGCAGGCACCGGGAAGCTGCCGCCAGGTTGTTTCATGATGTCGGGGTCGGCGCAAGCAGACCGCAACAACGTGACGTACGACATCGGCGTGAGCCTGCCTGGCAACGCCAATCCGAGAGCCACCACCGCGTCGTGCAAGTTCCGCACGCCCCATCCCTTAGAGCGCAGCCATGCCAGAGAAGCACGCCTGACAATCATGGCAGGGTCCTCTTCGTGAGCACGTGCAGTGGCCTCTTCGGTGGCCTCCGCCTCCCTCCACTCCTTGCTCAGGAGACCCTGTTTCCTCGCGGACAAGGACGACCAGGATGCTTGGAATCCGCCGGGTCGAGAAGCGGAGGTGTTGGGGCCAGGTAGGCGCGGCTCTGGCGCAGGGGCGCCTGCTGCGGGCCCGGGAGGCACGCCGTCGGACCCGTCTGGGAACACCCACGTGGGCGCCTTCTTGGCGGCTGCTCGGGTACGTTTGGCATCCGCCTTGTGCGCCGCATCCCATTGCTGCACGAGGAATAGCGGTGGTGGGTTCCACCCTCGAGCATTCTGGGTACTCTCGTCGGAGCTGAGCCATTCCTGGAAGACCGCGCCTGCGCGTGCATCAGGAAGGTCACGGATGACATGGGAAATATGTGGATGGGATTAGGGCGACGACGACGAACACGACAACGACGACGACGACGACGACGACGAGCACGACGACCACGACGACGACGACGACGAGGACGAGGATGAAAACGACGACGACGATGACGACGACGATGACGACGACCACGACGACGACGAAGAGGACGACGGCGAGGACGAGGACGAGGACGACAACGAGAACGAGGACGAGGACGACGACAAGGACGACCACGACGAGGACGACGACGACGACCACGACGAGGACGAGGACGAAGACGAGGACGAGGTCGAGGACGAGGACGAGGACGACGACGACCACGACGACGACGACCACGACGACCACGACGACGACGACGAAGACGACGACGACGACGACGAGGACGACGACCACGACGAGGACGAGGACGAGGACGAAGACGAGGACGAGGTCGAGGACGAAGACGACGACGACGACGAGGACGAAGACGAAGCCGAGGACGAGGACGAGGACGAGGACGAGGACGACGACGACGCGGACGAGGACCACGACGACGACGACGACGACGACGAGGACGAGGACGAGGACGAGGACGACGACGACGACCACGACGACGACGACGAAGACGACGACGACGACGACGAGGACGAAGACGAGGACGAGGACGAGTACGAGGACGAGGACGACGACGACGACTGAGGGCGAGCAACCGCCCTTTCGGACAGGGCGGCGCGAGAGCGCATCACCAATGTTTCGTCTCGCCCTTGCCACCACCCTTAAGATCAAAGCTGCGGCGGCACCTGTCGAGGTGAAAGCTGCGACCTGGATTGTTTGTGAGAGCGACCCCAGGCAGACGTGATAGCGTATTCCGGGCCAATCCCCCAACCCCTCTCTGTATCCCTAGCTCCCTCTCTCTCTCTCTCTTTCTCTCTGTCTGCCTCCCCCTGCCCTCCGTCCGTTCGAACTCTATTCAAGTACAGCCCACCCCACTCCACTCGAAAGTGCGGGCTGGCTTAGCAACTCGACGGGGGGGTCCGCCCGCGGGGTCAAGGAGGCAGGGCCCTCGAAACTCTTCGCGATGTGAGGGAGTGGCTGTGCAGAGGTAGTGCTTGTGGAACCCAAAGGGCCCCTGGCCAGGATCTGGGCTCGAGGTTCGAGGATCGGGATCCAGGATGAAGGAGCGAGCTTGGAGGATCGAGGATCGACGCTCGAGGTTGGAGGATCGAGGTCGCAGGATGGAGGATCGAGGTTCGCGGATCGAGGATGCCAGGATCGAGCATAGAGGTTCGAGGATCGAAGTTCGAGAATCGAGGATCGCGGTACCAGGATCGAGGATCGAGGAATCGAGGTAGGAGGATCGACGTTCGAAGATCGAGGCTGGAGGATCGCGGATCGAGGATCGAGGCTTGAGGATTGAGGATCGAGGCTCGAGAATCGAGGATCGAGGCTCAAAGATCGAGGATCGATGGCTGGAGCTTGAAGGATCGATGTCAGAGGATCGGGGATTATGGCTCGAACAATGAGGGTTGAGAGAAGAGGATCGAGGGTGGAGAATGGAGGATCGAGGTTAGAGGATCGAGGATGTAGGCACAAAGATATTGGTTCGAGGATGAAGTGTCGAGAATCGAACATCGATGCTCGAGGTTAGAGGAGCGAGGTCTGTGGACGGCGTGTCACCTCCTGGGCCCCCACGGGGCTCCCCGGAGCGCCGGAGCCCCACCGGATACCTCCGCGGACCTCGGTCAGCCAGCTTGGCGCTGTCGCGCCGCCCCCTCGGAAAGGGCGGCTGCTTCCCTCAGTCGTCGTCGTCGTCGTCGTCGTCGTCGTCGTCGTCGTCCTCGTCCTCTTCCCCGTCCTCTTCCTCTCGTCGGCTCCTCCTCGTCGTGCTCCTGCTCTTCCTGCTCCTCGTGCTCCTCCTGCTCGTCCTCCTCCTCCTCCTCCTCCTCCTCCTCCTCGCCCTCCTCGTCCTCCTCCTGGTCCTGAACGCCAGCCCCGTCTCCGCAATCCCAATGCAGTAGCGCCGTGAGAAGCGTGGACGCTGTCTGAAAAGATCGCCGGGGGATGGGGAGCCATCGAGGGGGGTGGGTCCGGACCGTTCCCTTGACGCAGGGGGCGGGTAGGATGCAAAGAGCGGGTCGCATGAGGACCGCGCGGGCGGGCCGTGGGCGGCGTCGCGGGCCAGGGCCCTCAGCCAGAGATCCCGCCGCAGACGCCGATTCGCATCTGCTGGAACGCGTGCGTCGAAGGGGAGCCGGCAGGAGGATCCGAACAAACCACGAACGTTGATCCTGAACATTTTTGTTTGTTTGATCCACGGGTCGAGAGCGCACCTCTTCCGGTCGAAGGATCCCGAACAGAAGCCTACGAACGAAATGTCTGTACCCGGTGTGGGCCACACAGAGACCTTGGAAGATCTGGTGCTGGGGAACTTGTTCGGGAACGCCAGGTAAGCAAGCATCGCCATGCGGCAGGAGTCGAAGAACCGCCCGATGTCGTGCAACGTCGTGAAGTTCAGCCACGGAGAGACGTGCACGATGCGGGGTTTCTGCAAGAAGTGCGCCTGCAAGCCGCTCCTGGCCCGGACGAGGAAGACGAGGCTGCGGAACTGCCACCAGGAAGCGCGGCTGTTCCACCGATTCCACTCCGAGTCGGTGAGCACCTCGCCGGTGGAAGGGCAGGGCTCGGGCGGGACAGCCGCCTCCTGCCTGGTGGAAAGAATATGCCGGCACCGAGGCACCCTGCCCCTCCCGCCCCGCCCCTTGTCGAAGTGGGGGCGGGGAGGGGGGGGAGAGCGCGTCGGCGTGGGCATAGAGCTATCCCTGGCGCACCTGCTCTCGTAGCGTTCCAACGGGGAGGAGTGCGTGAAACCAGCCTCGGGGCCGTCCCGGTCGACTTCGGCCCTGCTCTTGACCTTCCGCGTTTCCGACGACAAAGACAACCGGGTGAAAGTCCGACTGGCCAGGTACGGCGGAAACCCCCAGAGCGCATGATGCACCTCCAATTGAGAAATAGCCCGTGGCGCGACCTGCCTGTTGAAGAACCGCAAGATGGCCGTGCCGATGCCTTTGCCGTCTGATGCGGCTTGCTGGAGGATCTCATCGAACACCTCTTCGGCCTGGCCAAGCAGCGTGCCCTTGTCGACTTTAGTCATGTACTTCGTGATGTACTGGACAACGGCGAAGCGAGAGGACACCGCCTGCATGTCAACGTTGGCTAGAAGCGCCACCAGTAGCAGCGGATGGTAATTGTTCATAAAGTGGCAATTCCGAGAGAGCCAGAGACGGAAGAGGTGGCGCCTATTGGGATCCTCGGCCAGAGCTTCGTGACCAGGCGGCCTCACCGGGCGCGGGAATAACTTCCCGCAGTAACAAATCTCCATGTCCGTGCCGTGCGTACCAGGGACGACTCGCGCGCAAGACTGCTTGGCAAGTGGTGGTCCGTTGGGGTGTGGCGCATGCCAGTCGTGCATGTTGCTCCACTCTGCCAAATGCGCGCAGAAGTCGAGCCGGTCCTGGGGCTGTGACTCGTGGCTGAAGAGGTGGAGCAATTGGTCGACTGGGATCGAGCACGGGTCTCGCACGGTCTTCTCAGTGCCGTCGCGTTTACGCCGCTGCCGCTCCCCGACCCTTGCAGCCTGCGAGCCGTCGGCCGGCTTCCCAGGGTTCCACTCCGTGTAAATGGAATCGTAGAAATGAGCCATAGCCGCCGCCCGCTCCTCATCAATAGCGGGAGCATCCGGATCCGCCAGGTCCGGCGCACCGTCGCCCTGGCCGTCGGGGGCGAGCGGGACGTCTATGCGCGGCGCTCCGTGCGCCCAGAGGACCAGATGCACGTGCACAATCCCGCCAGACCCCCATTCGAAGGACGCGTAGAAGTCATCAATGTGACCTTCGGGCAGCTGCTTGCTGATGACACTGCAGGCCAAGTGAACCAAGTGCTCCAACTTGGCGGCGCAATACCACGCCACCGCGCCAGGGTTGGCCAAAGCATCCTGGAAGAATCGTTGCCGCTTCTGCTCCTCCGTTAAGTCGGCGAGCGGTGTTCGCCCATCCTTGGCGTCGCATGGTAGGAGCTTCTCAAGGAGGACGTGCAGCTGGTGCCACTTGTAAACAACGCAAGTGAATGTAGCGAAAAGTGCAGGCAACCGGCCCTTGCCATCGTTCTCGCCACGCATGGCTGTCTCATGTTCTATGTGCTCGACCATGCGTTCCAAGTCGGATCTCATGCCCATGCGTTCCCCGAGGGTCCCCGGTAAGCGTTGCGTGACCACGATCATGCGTTTGACCAGCGCCCGCCTGGCCTCTGCAGTGCGCAACATGTCGGCAGTGATGTTCCTGTCAGAAGGATTTTGTCGATAGCACGCTGGTCCCCACTGGGGGGCGCGAGGGCGTGGGACGAATCGGTGGGGCGCCGTCGTGATGGCGCGGCTTTCCCCGCTCCCCGGGCAGCAGGTCCGAGTGGGCACCTGGTCGTAACGAGGTGCCCGGGGGCTCCGGGAGTCGCTGGAGACGGGTTGGCACGGGGGCCGGCGGCAGCGGGCGCAGCCCGTCAGATAGACTTCGCGCATCTGCGCGGACCTCATGCGCAACATTGTGTTGAGGCACCAATATCTAAACCGCTTGTGCCGCATCGCCCTGTGATCCCCCCACAACATAATGTGCCGGACCCACACGTCAAAGGATACTCGGAAAGGTCTGGGCGCATTGAAGTCCCCTTCGCCGTAAGGGAAAATAGTCGGAAATGCTGCTGGCGCTAGCCCTGGCTCGTCCTCGCGAACAGGGTCGGCGCGCTCGGGCGGATCTAACCTGGGGGCTCTGCGGCGGGTGTTGGCGTCGATCTGCAAGCCAGCATCGGCCGGGGCCGGCCCTGCGGACCCGTCGGGCAGGGCCCCGACAGCGCGGGCAAGATCAGCCACGCACTCTTCACGTTCAGCCTCGCCTGCCGCGTGGCTGTCGTCAGCCACCGTGCCCGCGTCCTGGACGGCTTCTTGTTGTGCGAGCTCTTCCATAACGGACGTCATCTCAGCCACGAGCAGGCACTCATCGTCGCTGGGACCGTCGGTGTCCGCCCTCCGTAAGACCATGCAACTGTGATCGGCCAAGAAAGCAGCAAGCAGACGAAGTGGTATGGACACGGCCGCTCGGAAACGTGCCTCGCCAGACGACTCGGCGATGCTTCGCCGAAGAACATCCCAAGGGTTACTCTGACGAGGCTCATCTAGTGGGCCCAAGATTCCGCGGAGAGCAGCTGAAAACCGGAAGGATGAATTGTTGTGCCAATGTGTGAAGACATGGGCATTGATATGAACATCGTCGTCTGATTCCAATTCTCTCCATGGCAGCTTCACGTCCCCCGCGTCGGAATAGAATGCGAGATCCGCCACCGCAGACATGGCAAGTGGAGGCGTGTAAAACTGCCGCGCAAGTATCTGGCAGAGTTATTGCGTTAGGGCCGACGCCGCCTCGCAGACTGGAGCGGATCTGACATGGAACCTCCTTCGCATTGCGCCGCCACGCTGGCACAGTAGCAGGGTTTGCCGAAGGCATCGGGATTATCTTGGGACAGGTGCGCGCCTCCGTGGCAATCCGGCTGCCACTGCGGGTGGTTTCCTGGGTCCGCCGAAGAAGGGCACGGGAAAGGATTCGGGGGCGGGTGGGGGTGCACAAAGAACCCGAGGAGTGGAGGTCCGATGATCGAGGATCGAAGATGGAGGCTCGAGGATAGAGGATCGAAGCCGGAGGAACGACACTGTAGGATCCAAGATCGTGGATAGAGAGCCTGGAGGATCGAGGATCGAGGCTCGACTTTCGAGGGTCGAGGTCAAAGGATCGAGGATCGTGGCTCGAAGACGAAGGATCGGGATTCGAAGATAAAGGATTGGGCCTCGAGGATCGAGGATCGGGGTTCGAGGATTGAGGATGGAGGATCGAGGCTCGAGGAACGAGGCTGGAGGATCGAGGATCGAGGATGGAGGTTGGAGGAGCAAGGATCGAGGATCGAGGATCGAGGGTCGAGGTTCGAGGAGCGATGTCAGAGGATCGATGGACGGCCGAGTTTAGAGGATCCACGATCGAGGTTCGAGGATGGAGGATCGAGGCTCGAGGATGGAGGATCGAAAATGGAGGATCGAGGCTCGAGGATGGAAACTCGAGAATCGAGGCTCGGGCTTCGAGGATCGAGGTCAGAGGATCGAGGATCGCGGCTCGAGGATGGAGGGTCGAGGTGACATGATCGAGAATGGAGGCTCGAGGATCGAGGGTCGAGATTCGAGGATAGAGGATCGAGGCTGGAGGATCGTGGTTCGAGGAGCGAGGTCTTTGAAGGGTTTGGCACCTTGCGGGCCTCCAGGAGGCTCCAAGGGTCTCCGTGGACCTGCGGGGGCCCCAAAGGCACCTCCAGCTCCCCCGCAGACCTCAGTCACCGGACTTCATGCTCTCGCGCCGCCCCCTCGGAAGAAACCACCCCCTTGGACGAAGGCGCCCTCTCTCACGCCGCCCCCTCGGACGAACTCGGCTGCCAGGCATCGGAGCGCACGCACGAAGGCGCACGGGGCGACCGGAACGAAGGATTGTGAGGGAGGGGGTGAGGGGGGGGGGCGTGCCGGAACCCCCTGCGAGACCCCCCTCATCGTCGTCGTCGTCGTCGTCGTCGTCGTCGTCGTCGTCGTCGTCGTCGTCGTCGTCGTCGTCGTCGTCGTCGTCGTCGTCGTCTCGTCCTCGTCCCTCTCCTCCTCCTCCTTCTCTGTCGTCCTCCTCCTCCTCCTCTCCTTGTTCCTCCTCCCCTTCCTCCTCGTCCTCCTCCTCATTTTCGCCCTCGTCGTCGTCGTCCTCGTCCTCGCCCTCCTCCTCCTCCTCCTCCTCCTCCTCCTCCTCCTCCACCCTCCTGCTCCACTGTCTGCCAGAGAGCACGCCCCTGTAGATCTGCAGTCGTCTGGCCGCGGCCCGCAGGGCCAGACTCCTCGTCCGCTTCCTCCTCCCCCTCGTCCTCCTCGTCCTCGCCCTCGTCCCCGTCCTCGTCCATCCTCCTCCTCCTCTCCCCCTCCTTCTCCTCCTCCCTCCCTCCTCCTCCTCCTCCTCCCTCCTCCTCCTCCTCCTCCTCCTCCTCCTCCTCCTCCTCCCTCTCCTCCTCCCTCCTCCTCCTCATCCTCCTCCTCCTCCTCCTCCTCCTCGGCCTCCTCCCGAGCATCGTCGTCCTCCTCCTCGGAGACGCCGTCGCCCTCCAAGTTCTCCTGACCCTCGCCTGCTGCGCGCGTTGTCTCCCCCCCTCCCCGGCCCCCCCCTTCCTTGACCCCCCGGCGTCCTAACAGCCACTCCAAAGCGTCCTGGAGAGCTTGCTTCCTCGCAGCGAATGGGGGCCGCTGCCGTTGGATTTCCTTGGCCTCCCGCGTCTTTCTGCGGACCAGAACGACGGGAATATCATCGGGCTTCACAGGTAAGGCACGAATCCACGCCACACTGTGCTGCCGATAATTGACAATGTGGCCCACGTAGGCGAGTTGACCGCTGGGAAACAACGTGTATACTTGAACCAATGGGTGGATTCTGGAAACGAGCATCTCTTCGAAGTCCGTGAGCGCCGCGAGTGGCGCAGGCACGGGGCCGCCCAAGCTCATCTTGTTGGCAGCTGTCAGCACTGTGCTGGTGGCCGCGTTGCTGCATGTCCCGCAGACCTCGGTGAACGCGGGATGCGCCGGGCACTTGCCCCAGCAGCCGCGCCCCCCCGCCAGCCCGCGCCCCGCCGCGTGGACGGGGGGGGATCGGAAGACAGCCATTTCAAACAAGAAGGTGTCTGGGGACCCAAGGGGGTCACTCGTCGCCGCGGCTGCGCGCAGACGGGAAAACTGGCGAGCAAGGAAACTGGGAAAGGTTAGGGCTTCCCAGGGAAATCCCGATGTGTAAACGGGCCCTCCTCCGAAAGCGGGGGGGGCGACTGCGGGTCGGGGAAGCATCCGCTCGCGCCCCGCGGTCTCTGAGGCGTGGACGTAGGATCCGTCGCCATCGTCGGCAGGGAAGAAGGAGGGGCCGCCGGCTGGCGAGCCGAGTACTTTGGATGATTTTGTCGACCATCCGTATCCAGTAACAATGTCGGGCACCTGGAACCATCTTTCATTGCAAGAAGAGCACGTGAGCACGGGGGCATCGTCGAAGAAGCCATACAGCTCGCGCAGCCAGGAGGAGCACTCGGCGTCCTCCAAGCAAGCGAATGCTGGCGGCAACTGGTTGTCTTGCGCCCACGCCCAAGTGCGCTGGACTTCGGCCTGCCGCTGGGCGCCAGCGATGGCTTGCGCGACCTTCTTCATCGCCACCTTCTCCCGATAGCGCTCCTGATTGCGGTCCCGCTCGGGCTGGGGGTCCTGGGTGGGGGGCGTCTCCGATGGGGGGCGACGAGAAGCGGAATGAGCTCTAGGACCACGCGGAGAATCCAGAACTCCAGCCTGGAGTGTCCGTGGATGCCCGCGGGGTCGAAGAACTCGCCCTCCTGTCGTGGCCCCCCTGGAGAAGCGCCGCTCCTGTTTGTAGCGCGCCTTCCTGGCGTCCTTCTCCGCGTTCGCGTTATCGAGATACTGCTGCCGGCGGGCATCGGAGTCGTAGTTGTCGAGGTGCTGCTGGCGGCGGGCATCGGAGTCGTAGTTGTCGAGGTGCTGCTGGCGGCGGGCATCGGAGTCGTAGTTGTCGAGGTGCTGCTGGCGGCGGGCATCGGAGTCGTAGTTGTCGAGGTGCTGCTGCCGGCGTGCATCTGGGTCGTAGGATTCCGCCCTCGCTTCCTGCTCGTTCTCGAGATAATGCTGGCGACGGGCATCGGAGTCGTAGTTGTCGAGGTGCTGCTGGCGGCGGGCATCGGAGTCGTAGTTGTCGAGGTGCTGCTGGCGGCGGGCATCGGAGTCGTAGTTGTCGAGGTGCTGCTGGCGGCGGGCATCGGAGTCGTAGTTGTCGAGGTGCTGCTGCCGGCGTGCAACTGGGTCGTAGGATTCCGCCCTCGCTTCCTGCTCGTTCTCGAGATAATGCTGCCTGCGAGCGTCGGGGTCGTAGGTATCGCGGTGGCGCTGGCTCCGGGCAGCCGAGTCGTAGCGGCCTCGCTTCGCGGCATTCTCTGCGGCCGCCCGCGCCAGGTAGCCCGCCCGACGACGAGCATTGCGTTCGTCGTGCTTAGACAAAGCGCCGCCGCGAACCATGCGTTCTGGCTGCGCGTCCAGCGCGGCCGCCTGCCCTGCGACGTCCGGGGCAGCTTCGCCATCTTCGCCCCTGGCCGGAGGCGCGGCGTGAGCCGCGTCAGGGCCGCCCCCGCGCGAAGAGACCACATCAAGTTCAGAAGCGCCATCCCGAGGGGCCGCCGCCACGGGTCCACGAGAATGCACCGCCGAGGAATCCACGCGAACGGCGCCGCCGGCCCCCGCCCTGGCTGAGGCAGCGAACATACTGCCCAGATTACGCGAGCCGGCGGCGGATGCTGCGAAAGCCTTTGCTTTTGCTTTTGCCCTCGTTTCCCGGCAATGTTCTGCATTGCTCCCTGGCCCCCGATGGCCTCGGCCAGCGGGTCGCCGGGATTGTTGCCCAAGCTCGGCTGCTGGCCTTGCCTCGAGATCCGAACCCACAGCGCCGCCGCCGCCCTCGCACCCGGCAGCCGGTGCGTCCTCAGACTCGTTGGGGGCCGCCGCCGTGGCCGAGGCAGCGAACAGACTGCCCAGATCACGCGATCCGCGTGCAGATGTCGCCAAAGCCTTTGCTTTTGCCTTGGCCCTCGTGTCCCGACAATGTGCAGCATTACTTTCCGGCCCCCGCTTGCCAACCATGTGGGCGTGTACCGCGGAATAGAAAGCGAGGAAGAATGTAAGCATCATGTCTCCTGGGTGCGGCCTGAGCCAAAACCGCTACGGAAGAGTAGACCCAGCAACCCTTCAGAACGTCAGTGATTGAGCGAATGAGCTCTACCAATCCCGTTGTTCCACTTCGGGGAGGGGTGTGCCCTTCCCCCCATCTGGGCCTCTAGGTCCACAGGGGGGGCCGCAAAGGGTTAGAGCGGCGAAGATGGGCCAATATGGCCCTGAACGTGTCTCTGCCAGCTGAAGGTGCCCTCCGAAATCTCACCACACCTCTTGGTTTTCCTCGTCCTGCTCCCTCCTCCCCCTCCTCCTCCTCCTCCTCCTCCTCCCCCTCCTCCCCCTCCTCGTCCTCCTGCTCCTCCTCATCTTTCTCCACATTCTCCTTACATCCTTTTTTCTTCCGCGCCTCCTCGTCCCCTGTTTACTCCTCCTGCCTCGCCCTCCTTTCCCAAGATAACGGCAACGCAATCCTTTGTTCCACTTTATGCTCCCCGACTTCTCTGATCAAGGCAACTCGACAGGGCAAAGTTGCTAGACGGGCTGGTGTGGATGCGCGGGGCGTGAAGAGGTCCTTGCGGGCTCAGACGGCATGAAAAAATCCGCCACCGCGCTTGTGCGGCATTGGTTTGTTCAGTGAACGTGGTTTGGGTCACGGGTGGGTCGCGGGCTCTCCACCTCCACCTGGAAGGAATGCAAAAGCAGCCCGCCGCAGGCGCCAAAAAAATTGGTTTGCACGCTGAACGTGGTTTGGGTCGCGGGTGGACCGCGTGTTCTCCACCGGGAAGGAATGCAAAAGATGCCCGCCGCAAGCGCCGGAACAAAAAGGTTTGTACCCTGAACGTGGTCGCGGGTGGCCCGCGGGCTCTCCCCCTGAAGCGAATGCAAAATATGCCCGCCGCAGGCGCCGAAAAATGTGGTTTGTACCCTGAACATGGTTTGGGTCGCGGGTTAGTCGCGAGTTGGTCACGGGATGTGTCGCGGGCTCTCCACTTGGAAGGAATTCAAAAAAGCCCGCCGCAGGCGCCGAAAACTGTGGTTTGTACCTTGTTTTCTTTCTACACGATCCATAACGGCACTGTGAGGATTCGTCATGCCCAGCGCCTTCCTATGCCGAGGAGCCACATCCAGGGCCTTGAGCACCGCATAGCGAGCTGTGGCTTCAGACTGTCCATAGCGTGCGCTGGCTGTACAACTTTGTGTGCAACGGCGTTCTTGCTCCAGACAAGCATGTCGACACAAACAGTCAAGGCCAGCACGCTTACCCTCTGGCGACGCCCTGTGGCAACTGCCAAGGCGATGAAGCTTTCATCGAAGCACATCTGGTCAAAGGCGGACACCAAAATTAAGAAATGCAGCATTAGATGACGATAGGGGCCGCTATCGCCAACCCCATGGCGACCGCTCCGAAAGAGTAACTTCGGACCCTCGCAGGAGTGGGATGGCACACGGGATGAAGAAATCGGCTTCTACATTCAAATAGGAGCAGATGCCGTCGGTGAGAGTACGTCTGACTGACTGGTTAAGACACACACTGGGCGTCGGTCAGAGGACGTCGACTCCGAAAATCTGTCGGCTGCCGACAGCTCAAACGCTGTGGGCAACTGCTTGGGATAATTCAACCATCCTGATCAAACCTTTACTCCGCACGAATTAAATGCCAAACGGCAGAAAATTGTGGTTTGTACCTTGAACGTGGTTTGGGTCGAAGGTGGGTCGCGCGGGTGGGTCGCGGGTGGGTCGCGGGTGGGTCGCGTAGGTCGGGTGGGTCGCGGGGTGGGCCGCGGGGGGGTCGCGGGGTGGGTCGCGGGTTGGGTCGCGGGGTGGGTCGCGGGGTGGGTCGCGGGGTGGGTGGGTCGCGGGTGGGTCGCGGCCCGCCGCAGGCGCCGAAACATGTGGTTTGTACCCTGAACATGGTTTGGGTCGCGGGTTGGTCGCGAGTTGGTCACGGGATGTGTCGCGGGCTCTCCACTTGGAAGGAATGCAAAAAAGCCCGCCGCAGGCGCCGAAAATTTTGGTTTGTACCTTGAACGTGGTTTGGGTCGAAGGTGGGTCGCGGGTGGGTCGCGCGGTAGGTCGCGGTGGGTCGCGGGTGGGTCGCGGGTGGGTCGCGGGTGGGTCGCGGGTGGGTCGCGGGGTGGGCCGCGGGGGGGTCGCGGGGTGGGTCGCGGGTGGGTCGCGGGGTGGGTCGCGGGGTGGGTCGCGGGTGGGTCGCGGCCCGCCGCAGGCGCCGAAAAATGTGGTTTGTACCCTGAACATGGTTTGGGTCGCGGGTTGGTCGCGAGTTGGTCACGGGATGTGTCGCGGGCTCTCCACTTGGAAGGAATGCAAAAAAGCCCGCCGCAGGCGCCGAAAATTTGGTTTGTACCTTGAACGTGGTTTGGGTCGAAGGTGGGTCGCGGGTGGGTCGCGCGGTAGGTCGCGGGTGGGTCGCGGGTGGGTCGCGGGTGGGTCGCGGGTGGGTCGCGGGTGGGTCGCGGGGTGGGCCGCGGGGGGGTCGCGGGGTGGGTCGCGGGTTGGGTCGCGGGGTGGGTCGCGGGGTGGGTCGCGGGGTGGGTCGCGGGGTGGGTCGCGGGGTGGGTCGCGGGTGGGTCGCGGGTGGGTCGCGGGTGGGTCGCGGGGTGGGTCGCGGGGTGGGTCGCGGGTGGGTCGCGGGGCGGGTTGCGGGTGGGACGACGACAACAAACAACAACAACAAACAACAACAACAACAACAAGAATCCGCACCGCAGAATTCCACATCAGCCACGCACCCAGGGACAGTGAATGACCGTTCGGCCCCCTCACTCTGATATACATGCATGTATACATGCATACATGCACATAACTACATACATGCATACATGCATGCACGCATATATACAGACATTCATACATACATGCATACCTACATGTATACATACACACATGCATACATGCATACACACATACATACATACGTACAAGCATGCATACATACAAATATATACATGCATGGATGCATACATACATATAGATATACATGCACATACATACATACATACATACATACATACATACATACATACATACATACATACATACAGACAGACAGACAGACAGACAGACAGACAGACATGCATACATACATACATACATACATACATACACACACGTATACATACACAGACACCTAGGCATACACCTATACATAAGCATATACACATGTAATATAACCACGCGCGCGCTTCGCGCGCGCTTAGGTTCTCGTCAGTTCGAAAGGGATGGCTGGTTGGGCCGTCACGAACCTCTCCAGGACCATGTTAGGGCATCTTTGGGCCCTCTTGGGCCTTCTGAAATGGGCGTCCTTTGAATACAATTGGAGTGCTATTGGCGCCCCTTTGGGCAATATCTGTCCTTTGTGTCGTGGGGAACCGTCCCGGAAAGCCCAATCGCGCAACAACTCTTGGTGATGGTGCTGGGTCGCTGTCGAACAGCTCGAAGGCCAAACATGACGCCAGGGACGAGGAGGAAGATCAGGAAGAGGTCGGTCGGTCGGTCGGTCGAGAACCTCGGGTGACTCAAGCAGCTGAGCTGTGGAGCTGGTGCAGGCATCAAAGTTAGCCTGCAACCTACCGGAAGGCCGACTGCAAGAATCGGCCGCGAGAGAACGGGCACGCGATGCAGGATCGGGGGGAGACCTGATCGGCCCCCGTGCTAAGGCGCCAGGCGTGGTCAGTGGCCTCTACCTCCCTTGGAGGCCAAAGCCAGAGAGAAAGAGAGCGACAGAGAGAGGAGGAGGCGATGGAGGAGGACAAGGAGGAGGAGGAGGACATCTTGGGGCCATCGAGGAGAAGAGTGCGTGGTCGGTGCCGTCACAGCTCTACACACTTGCGGCCCCGCCCTGTCAGTGAGCACGACTGACAATCGCAATGTCAAAAGCGTACCAATACTACCCCAAAAGACGCACGAAGGGACACTGAGGAGAGAGTGGGTAACGCAACGGGAAGGAAAAAGTCTGGGCAAAATCGACAGAGTCCTGCCGCAGCCGTACGGACGCGGACCCATCGCCCGTGCCCGCAGCTGGAGACACAGTCGGGAAACGCATGTGCGTTCGCGAGCGGTCCCCGAAGCAGCATGCTGGCCTAGCGGGACACCGGGAAGAGCAAGGTGCCACCACAGCCCTCCAGAGGAGTAGGCCGTGGCACCACTTGCTCGGAGAACGTTGTGCAATGTGGGGTTCGCGGCACCACAACTCGGAGAAAGTCCCAGACTGATTTTTTCAGGACGGCTTCCCTTGAAGTCCCGACCCTCTGGTGCGTCATCCTGAAATCGTTCTTGGACGGTCCCGGGGCCCGGCGAGAGCCCCCAGGGGCCGAAAATATCGATAAATTTGCCGCCCTGACTTTTTTGACAAGCGATCATTCTGGGCTGGTACCACCTGAAGCACCATCTAGGGCACGTGCCCGTGTCTGGAAGGCCGTGGCACCCGCGTGCTCGGGAAGGCTGTCGCCCGGGTCCCCCGGGCGACGAGGCGGAGCTGCCGTTCCTCTCGTGGCGCCTGGTTTCGGGCCACCTCGGGGCCATGTGCTGCCTGGCGGAAGGGGACGAGGAGAGAGCGAGCACGCCAACGAAACTCCATGGCAACCATCAGGGGAATGAATGGCTTTCACCTCTCACCCCCGTGCCCAAGACGGGCCAGGGCCTTGAGGCAAACGACTGCCTCCAAACTCTTCCAAAACGCTTACGTTTGAACCACCATGTGGCAAAACAAGTGGATCTTCAATAAGTTCACTTCTTCAGACGTCTTGGGGGTTCTCCAAGGGCGCCCCCCAAAGATGGCGTGCAACAGCTGTTTCAGCATTTCATGGTTTCAATGGCGACTCACGCGAGAGCGTCATTTTCGAAGATCCGGAGGTTTCGCAACCGATTTCCACATGTTCATGTTATGAGGATGTCTCGAACGAAGGCTGTATCCTCAGCATACACGGTCATCCATTCCCATCAGCATCGAGAGCGCCCCAGATCGGCGGCACTGGCCGGAGGCCACTACAATCAATAGTTTTCGCCTCTCACCCCCCGTGCTTGGCTGGCCTCCGTCCTCGGGGATCGAGGAGGAACATCGCGGCAGCGGGACTGGCTTCCTAGCAGTACGAAGGCCGCCTCAGGGCCGCCCTGAGGCCGTTGAGAGCCGCACTCAGGGTCGCCGAAGGCCGCCTTCTTGCGGGCCGCCTAGGGGCCGCCTTCGGGAGAGCCGAAGGTCGCCCAGCGGCTTCACAGTTGCCACCAAGCCAGGGAGCAACACGGCAGCAGCACACACGGGCCCACGCACCTAAACGCGAAAGGTTGACGGGTGCCGTCAGCCCCGCGGCTGCAGTCCCACCACGGCCCCTGCTGAGGTGCTGCTCTTCCGAGCAACTACGCACGGAACTCTTGGAGCTACTGAGCGGTCTTGGCGCGTCCTGGGCCGTCTGAAAGCGTGTAAAGCGGCTTGGGCGCCATATTGGGCCATCTAGGGCATGTCTTGGCCATATTGGTGGTCTCCTGGCGCCGTTCGGATGTGGAAATTGTGTTTCGACGACTCCTCAAGCCGATTAACCTTCCGAAGTTCCGAAAAAGCGCCCTGGACTCCAGAGGGCTAAATTGGGTACTCGGGGGGGTACCATGTTTCTCCTTGCATGCTGGCAGAGAGGCAGGGGGGAGAGGCAAAAATGCCAATGACCTTCAAAAACCTATGTAAAATCAAGAATGTGTTGCCCCTCGGAACCCTTTTGGGTTGCCACGTGGAACGCTCCTGAAGTGTCTCGAAGGCGTCGTGGGCCGTCTGGAAGCGCTTCTGCGGGCTTCCTGTGAGGCCTCTTGGAGACCTGTTTGGCCTCCTGGGGGTCCCGGTGCGCGGAGAGGTCTAAATCGTAGGTCGTGCTCACCCTCTGGAACCGATCTTGGGCGGCTCCCAAAGTGTCCTCGGACCGTCTTGGAGGTCTCTTGGGCCGTTTGGGGGGCCCCTTGGGCCATCTGGGCACCCACTTGGGAGCCTCTCAGGCCGTCTCGGGGCGTTTCTCGGGGCCTCTGAGGTAGTTTTGGAGCGCTGGGCAGCAAAAAGTGCAGACTAAAAGATGGACACTCAATGAATACTATCTCTTGGGGGCATCTGGGGGGGCCTCTTGGAAGCCTCTTGGAACGACTTGAAAGCGTTTTGGGCCGTCTGGAAGCTCTTGTGGAGCGTCTTGGGAGCATTTTGGGGCCACCTCGAGGCCATCAAGGACGCCTGGGAGTATTAGTTCGGCAACTCGGGACCCCCAAGGGCCGTCTGCGGCGTAGACGTGAATCGCCCGAACCTCGATTCGCCCAGCTCGATTCGCCCGTCTCGATTCGCCGAATCTCGATGCGCCCGACTCGATTCGACCGGCTCGATTCGCCCGGCTCGATTCGCCTGAATCTCGATTCGCCCGGCTTGATTCGCCCGGCTCGATTCGACCGAGGCTCGATTCACCCAGCTTGACTCGCCCGGCTCGACTCGTCCCAGCTCGAATCGCCCCGCTCGCTTTGCCCGAGTCTCGGTTCGCCCGTCTCGATTCGCCTGGGCTCGGTTCGCCCAGCTCGATTCGCCTGGGGCTCGCTTCGCCCGAAGTTCCACTCGCTCGGGGCTCGATTGCCCCGGCTCGATTCGCCTGGCGCACGAACCGCCTAGCTCGCTTCGCCCGAGTCTCGGTTCGCCCGAGTGTTGATTCGCCCAGCTCCACCCGCCCGACCCGACCCGCCCGCTAGTGTCGGCCCGCCCGACCCGACCCGCCCGTTAGGGTCCGCCCACCCGACCCGACCCGCCCGTTGGTGTTTGCATGTGCTGCCTCGATGATGCGTCCTACTTGAATGTCCCGCCCGCCCGACCCGACCCGACCGTTAGAGTCCGCCCGCCCGATCCGACCCGCTCGTTAGGGTTCGCCCACCCGACCTGACCTGCCCGTTAGGGTTCGCGCGTGTTGCCTGCATGATGTGTCCTACCTTAGTGTCCCGCACGCCCGACCCCGACCCGCCCAAGAAAGTCAGCCCGCCCGACCCGACCCGACCCGCCCGTCAGGGTCCGCCCACCCGACCCGACCCGCTCGTTAGCGTCCGGCCACCCGACCCGCCCGATAGGGTTCGCGCGTGTTGCCTGCATGATGTGTCCTACTTGAGTGTCCCGCCCGCCCGACCCGACCCGCCCAGCAAGGTCAGTCCGCCCACCCGACCCGACCCGCTCGTTAGGGTCCGGCCACCCGACCCGACCCGCCCGATAGGGTTCGTTGCCTGCATGATGTGCCCTACTTTAGTGTCCCGCCCGCCCGACCCGACCCGCCCAGCAAGGTCTGCCCACCCGATCCGACCCGACCCGCCCGTCAGGATCCGCCCACCCGACCCGACCCGCCCGTTAGGGTTCGCGCGTGCTGCCTCGATGATGCGTCATACTTTAGTGTCCCGCCCGCTCGACCCGACCCGCCCGGTAAGGTCCGCCCGCCCGACCCGACCGCCCGCTTGCTCCCCCTGCTCCCCCTCTGGATCCTTCACGTGCCTGGCGAAGCGAGCCCAGGCGAAACGGGCCCCGGCGAAACGAGCCTCCGGCGAAACGAGCCCCGGCGAAACGGGCCCCATGCGAAAGGAGAGACCCCGGCGGAAGCGAGACTCCGGCGGAAGCGACTCCGGCGAAGCGAGCCCCGGCGAAGCGAGACTCCGGCGAGCCGAGCCCCCTCGAAAACGGAGCCTCGGCGAACCGAGCTGGGCGAGCCGCGTCGGGCGAAGCGAGCCCCGGCGAAGCGAGCCCCGGCGAAGCGAGCCCCGGCGAGCCGAGGCCCCAGCGAGCCGAGGCTCCGGCGAGCCGAGGCTCCGGCGAATCGTCCTGCCCCTCCTCCCCCTCCTCCTCCTCCTCCTCCTCCTCCTCCTCCTCCTCCTCCTCCTCCTCCTCCTCCTCCTCCTCCTCCTCTCCCCTCTTCCGCCCCAGCAGTGCCCCGGCGGAACCCCTGCTGGGCCCGCCGCGGGCAGGTCGGAGATGCGAGGGCTGCTGAAGAGCGAGCAGTCCGCGATCGCCGCGCTCGACGAGCAGGCCACGGGGGGTGGCTGCGCGGGTCGGGCTCGAGGGCCCTGACGTCGTGATTTTTGTCACAACGTCGACCCCCAAAAGATTAGACCCCTTCCCCGGGGCCGGCTTCTCGTCCTGCATCGTTTCTCTGACGGCCCCGGGGCCTGATGAGGCCGAAGACTGCGAAAAACTTCCCGTCGCGGCGCTTTCACAGAGCGAGGGGGTCTGAGTCTGGGGCACCTTTTGGGAACGTTTCAAAACCGTGTTGGGACGGGCACAGGCCCCTGGTCGCCTTGGCGCGTCCTCCTGTGCCGTGGGGCCCCATGGAGGCCCAGAAGGCTTCTCTCGGGTCTCCCTCGGGCGTTCTGGCTGGCATGGCGTATGAGCACTGAGAAGGCGATGTCTTCAAAGAAAACCTATGTTTTTTTCAAGGTTTGAAAATTTTGCACCTGTCGGGGCTCTCCAGCAGCTCTGGGAGCTCAGAGGTCTCAGGAGCAAGGCACCCTAAGAAGATACGAAGAGCGTCTTGGGGAAGGGGCGCAGGACAGGCCCCGAAAGCACCCGAAGAAACAACAAAAAACAAGAGCGCCGTCAGAGAGGCTCCGAAGGGACTCTCGAGAAAGTGCCCAAGACAGCTCAAAGGGGCCCTGGAACGGAGAATTGGAGTGCCCTGAGAGTCGTCGCAAGTGCTTCCGAAAATGGCCCAATAGCGCCTCAAAAGAGGCTCTGAAGGGTTCCTCAAGTGCCGAAGGGATTTTGAAAGGGCCTCAGGTGAAGACCCTAGAGGACCCCCAGAAGCGCCCTGAGAAGGCGTCTGAAGAAGGCCGAGGAGGCCCCAGGAAGATGCTCGAAAGTGGCACAAAGATGGCGCCAAGATGAACTCTTCAAGGTCGGCGGCGAGCGAGGGGGGGAGTGAGAAGGAGAAGGCCTTCTTAGAAGGTTCGGAAGTCCCCCGGCCTTCTGGGAAGTTCTCTAACCCTTCCGAAGACAAAAAACCTCTAAGAAGGCGCTAGAAGCGGTTCTGAGAAGTCCCGCCGCCTTATGAGAAGGTTTTCTCCTTCTCACTTCCCCCCCCTCGCTCGCCGTGGCGCCAAGATGTGCTCCCCAAGAGGACTTGAGGAGGTACACAGAAGAGCGTCCAGACGGCCCGAGGAGCAACTCCGCGGAGGCCCCACAAGCACAATCTGGGGGGACACGATTTCAACGACAGATGTTCCCAGCACTGTACACCCTGCGAAATCCTTAAGAAATCATGGGCTACGAAATTCATAGTCTCAGAACTTGAATAAAAAAACACAACATTTCTATTAATATATTAAGATTTACATTGTAACGTTAAGAAAAATCGAGACTCTGGCCGAAAACTTAAGGTTTCTTAAGCATCGCCTAAGGTGTAGGCGGGGCAAACCGGAACGCCGGGGACGTCCCCGCGGCCGCCCCTGGCGCTCCGCGTGCACGGGCGGAGTCCTGCGCACCCCGTCCTTGGCGCCAGGCCACGCCAGCCACGCCCGGCGAGCGTGTGGTTCCGGAGGCCAACCAACATACACCATGCGAAATGCTTAAGAAATCATGGGTTAAGAAATTCATAGTCTCAGAAATTGAATGAAACACAGAACTTCTATCAAAATCTCGGGATTTACATTGAAAAATTAAGAAGAATCGAGACTCTGGACGAAAACTTAGGTTTTCTTAAGCATCGCCTAGGGCGTAAGGCCACTCAGCCTCACCAAAAACAGCGGGTAACACGTTTGACCCCCGAAACCGTGTGAGAGAAAAAACACCTGCGCACTTGGGGTTTCAGGGGCCAACAGCACGCCGTTCTCAACCTCACAAGAAAACGGGTGGCACGTGTCGCCCCCGAAACCGTATGAGACAAAACAGCTGTAAATTTGGGAGTCTGGGAGCCAACATAAGGCAGTTCAGCTTCATACAGAACGACGGGTGACTCGTGTCACCCCCGAAACCGCGTGATAAAAAACAAGTGTATTTGTTTGCTTCCAGGGGCTAACACAAGGTCATCCAGCCGCGAAAAAAAACAACGAGCAACACGTGCCACCCCCGATACCGCGTGAGAATATCAAATTGCAACTTTACGATTCTGGGAGCCAACCAGACGCCATTCAGCCTCACAAAAACAACAGGTGACACGCGTCATCCCCGAAATCGTGTGAGAAAAACCATTTGTAAATTTGGGATGGTGGAAGCCAACATTAAGCCATGCGGCCTCACAAAACAACAGGTGACACGCGTCACCCCCGAAATCGTGTGAGAAAAACCATTTGTAAATTTGGGATTGTGGAAGCCAACATTAAGCCATGCGGCCTCACAAAACAACAGGTGACACGCGTCACCCCCGAAACCGCACGAGAAAAACCATCCAACATAAGGCCAGTCAACTTCAGAAAAAAACAACGGGTGACACGTGTCAACGCCGAAGCCGCGCGAGCAAAACCAATTGTAAATTTGGGAT